CTGCGCTCCCCCCGGCCCCGGGGCTGCGATTGCACAGCCAGAGCTCCCTCCTGCCTCCCCCTCCAGCGAACACATAACCTCACTTTCTGGAGGAGGTGGGACGGGAATGAGAAAGAGAAAATCCTGCGGCTGCAGTCACCCCCAGAGGGGAGATCAGCGAGGACACCGTCTAGACAGGGCTTGGCCGGAGGGAGCCGCGATTCCCGGCTCTTGTTTTCACCTTTCCAGGGCAGCCAATGCTTCAGTTCCTGTGTTTCCCTCAGCTCGTCAGAGGGACTGAGCTGTAGGTTCCAGGCTTYAAAACAAATCCAAACCGACAAACCCCCAAACCAGCACTACTGTTGGACTTTCAAACACCTTTTAAATTACATTTTCACTGTACAGGCTTTGTTTCAGCTTCCACTGGTTGCARCCTTGGGAGAAGCAGAACAACAGAAAATTCTCAGCCATCCAAAAGCCCCTCAGATTTTGTTTTACAGGGAAAAGAGGCTGTGGAGCAAATGAGGATTGGGAAAACTGTTCTGAGCTTCATGGTGGTGATGCACAAATTTTTCAACTGGAGTGCAAGAATTGACCGGGATAAGAATGAGAGAGAAAAGGGAAAGGATAAGAATGGGAAAGAAAAGGAAAAGGAAAGGAATGGGAGATAAAATGAAAAGAATGGAAGAGAAAAGGGTAAGAACGGGAGAGAAAAGGGTAAGAATGGGAGAGAAAAGGGAAAGAATGGAAGAGAAAAGGAAAAGAATGGAAGAGAAAAGGGTAAGAATGGGAGAGAAAAGGAAAAGAATGGGAGAGAAAAGGCAAAGAATGGAAGAGAAAAGGAAAAGAATGGAAAAGGGTAAGAATGGGAGAGAAAAGGAAAAGAATGGGAGAGAAAAGGGAAAGAATGGAAGAGAAAAAGAAATGAATGGAAGAGAAAAGGGTAACAATGGAAGACAAAACTATAAGAATGGAAGAGAAAAGGAAAAGGATAAGAATGGAAGAGAAAAGGAAAACAATGGGAGAGAAAAGGAAAAGCACAATAACCCAAAGTACAGGGCTGGAATGATGGCACAAGGGAAATAAAGCTTCAGGGTACCCCAGCAATGGGGGGAAAAGCCTCACAGTGCAGTTCAGGGGAAATTTATTAATTTATTAAATGAGAAGTAAGGAATTTGCAGTTGAAAGTCGGAAAGAGAAATGGGATTTAAACAGGGAAAGTGAAGACTGGGTTGCTTGGTTAGGCTGGATGATGTAGGAGGAGAACAGTTTAAACAGTGTGCCTGGGATAAAACTGGTGGGGAAAAGGGCAAATGAACCAGAGGAATGGCTGACAGGTTGAACCTGTCAAACTAAACTTCCTGCAGGCAATTGCAGCRGTTTCCTGGGTGCAGATGTGGATGCAGGACCCAAGGGTAACCCCAGGGYTGGTGGGTGTGGGCAGTTMACCCTGAGACAGCCACAGGAASCCCTGGCTCTGCTCTTTCACCTGCCTGAGCAATCCCTTTCCCCAAAATGAGCACCAGACATGCCCTTGCTGCGGGTTGTGCACCAACAGGGYGATTCCTTGGAAATTAATTTAAAACAAAACTCCGTTAATTGCTGTAATTACCTTTCACATCAGACTCSACTTACTTATCTGACATGGCAATCTGCTCCAGCATCGCCGAGCCYGTGTTTGTCTTCCAGTTCCCGGATATGGAGGTTCTCCTGAAAAAGGGAAAACATTACCAAGGCAGCCAGGGTTTCATGTTCTCCCCACCCAAAGCCTCTGCTCTCTGTTCCTGAGTTCTGCCTGCCCTTTCCTGCCTGGCAGCTTGGGACAGAACCTGTGAGCCACGAGGGGTTGAGAGGGCATGGCCAGCAGTGCTTCACTGGGGCACAAACAATGGCCGTGCTGGGAAATTTGTGTTCTCCACTTATTTATTTTGGGTTTTTTAAAAAATCCCAGCCTCCTGTGGTGAAGTGACAGCGTTGGCAATGAGCTGGTGCCAGGGGAAAGGGCGCTGGGTTCCCTGGGATACCTGGGCTGGTGCTGCCCAGGGAAAGGTCAGGGAGCTCCAGCTTCTCCCAAACCCACCCCACTGCAGGGCTACGTCCCAACACTTGAAAAAAAGCAACATTTTTTATGTTTCTAACCCCTCTGAGGTGATTTCAGAYGTGTTTTGGAGCTGGGTTTGGGTTTCTCCTCCACTTTTCACTCTGCTGTTTACTGATCCAACCTAAATGCCCTGTGTCAGTTCACCTTCTCCTGTTTAATCTCTAAGAAACTAAAAAATGAACCTAAAGTTGTTTTTCTTTTCCCCCTCAGACCTTAGGGCTGAGAAGATTAGTGCTTTGTGGGAGCTAAATGCTGTACTGGGAACAGGCTTTGGACRGAAGTTCTGAAGTGTTTCCAGTCAGTAAAATCAGGGGAATATCTGTAAGGAATTAAAAGGCTATCAGGCAGCAGCCAGAGCTTTCCCTCCATTTTCCCATCAAGGTAATTACGAGGGTCAGTAGCAATTTTGAGGGGGGGAAATGTTGGTTTTTCTCTGGGAGCCTYGTAGATTTTGCTGGATTTTAAAGCAGAAAGTTCTGCTGTGATGCCATGGCCTTTGCTGGTGTGGGAGAAAGCAAAGAGGAGAGAATGTGCTCCTTGAGGGTTTTGTGTGAGGAAACTTTGCCCAGCAATGAGGCTGTGATKGATTTCTGCTCCATTCTTTAAGGTGATGTTTATCTACGTGTGCCTGCTTTAAAATGAATAATTTCAGGGTTTGTTATGTTCTGCATCGGAGAGAAAAATCTCACAAATTTCACAAATCCCAGAGTTCGATGCTCTTGCAGATTCTCCCAGGGGTTCATTGGAATGGGGSTCTTTTAGGTGTCCTTCAGGAAGCAAGATGGGATCAAATAATGGAAAAAAGTTCCCCTGGAGGTTTTTAGGGGATGTTTATTTCCAGGTGCTCGGTAGCAGGGATGCAATCCCAGCCCYGCTGAATGCAGAGGCACAGATGGTTCGCTCCAAGCCCTGATTTCCCTCCACAGAGGGAAAAGCTCCTGCAGGATCTTCTCCTTCCTTCTCCCAAAGGATGCTCTGCTGCCTGTGAGGGTGCCASARTGATTTTTGCMTTTTYYYTTT